CCATTGCACCAACCCCCCACTAGTGATGACGTACCATTACAATGTATCGCTGGTTGGTGGCCATGTTTGCGTGTTTGCTTGTCGTTAGTGGTCTCTCCACCGTGTGCCATTTTCTGTCTCTTATTTCTTGTTATTTTCGGCGTGGTCCCTTTTTGTCCTCGCTCTTTTCCATTTCATTTTCTCATTCCTTATTGTTTGCTTTTTTTGTCTGCTATTTTTCTCTGTTTTGTTTTATTTTCTCTCTTTTTCTGTACCAGATGGACTTGTCTCTGCTTGCGTTGTGAAGTACCAAGATTGAACCAAGGGGGTGTACTTCATTCTCTCCGGCCCGTGATGGTGACTCCTAGTCTCAGTTGTTACCTCGCATAGCGCGCAGAGGGAGTGGAGGACTCCAGAACATCTGTCGTTGATTTCTAATGACTTGCGGACCCCTCGGGGCCAGTTTATTTGGGTGCAACTTTTCAGGGTAAGTTAGCCTGCGACCACAGGAATCGACCGCGTCGAGTGTTGCATCAGTACGGACATACGAAGGTACTGGGTAGAGAGAGATCGGAACGGTTTTTAATGTGAAGACAGCAACAACAACAACAACAACAAATAGTCTAAGCAGTCAAACAAGATGCGGCGCAACTGGTTCGGGACAACAAACGCGGTCCATCGTACATCTCCACATCTCGTTCGTGTACGGGGGTGCCTTTTCTCTGACTTTGGCTTGCGGGGGGGTGGAGGTGTCCGAAAAACTAGACACAGCTGCAGCGTGGTCGAGAGTAGTTGCCCTAGACGAGAACACCGATCGCCGGAGCACTTTCTGGTGTTCACGGGCACATCACTGACACAACTTTGACAAAGCTCTACTCACAACAAAGTGCTGTCTGATCTTCGCTCGGTCGGCAAAGAAGATAGAGTGAGTCATCGAAGACGGCAAGGTGCTACTGTACAGTAATGACATGATCTGATTGCGCTCTTTTATGCCTCGGTTACGTCCACGAGCAAACCTCAGGACTGCACCGTGTGAAAACGTCTCCCGTTTGGCACTTTACTACTGAAGTAAGGCTCTGTCCTGCTGAAGTTTCGGCCACCTGGCACTCTGCTTTTGCGCATGCATCCTACCCGCTGCCGAACTTTCGGTGTTGAACCTGTCCTGCAGTAGTACAGCTCTCGAGATGGCGAATACCCCGCTGTCGCTCCTGATGGTTAGTTTCCATACGCTTCTCGGTCGGTCGAGTTGGCGAAAAATTACCTATAACACAGCAGTCGGTTTCGCTGCTTCTTCCGACGAAATGTTCCGAACAGGACAACGGCTAGAGACGATGACCCACGATCTGCGCTGATTTTTACAAGGCAGCCATTGTATCTATTACGAATGGGATTATATATATATATATTAATTGCCTTCCGACAATTGCAGATGTACCTCAGAAAACGTTCACATAATGTCTCATACTCTACATGAATATTAATATTAAACCAATACGAAGTACAACAACATATGTAGGACTTATTTCTACTGTCACTTATATCGTAAGAATATCTCCTCTTCAAATTGAAAAAAACCAATGATAATCCTCAGGCCGAGTCCTAGTCCGAGTCTTACGTCGTGGTTTTTTTCGGAGTTTTTTTTTCTCTCGGACGGGGGGAGGTGACAGCACGCTACTGCTGTAGGGACGCACGAATCCATAACACCACCATGGTCGTGGAGGCGCTACTCCTACCCAGGAATGAACACTACGATGATCTGCTGGAGTACCTGTCATACCAAACAGACTCCGATGCACCTATCGCTCATCCAGAACGCGACAGCTTACTACCAGTGCCTTGTCACCAAGCGGGAGGCCGGGACCATGTCAACCCAACAGAGGGATGCACACGCCAGGACCAACTACAAGAACTTCACCGTTCCAAGCTTCCTGTGTTGGTGGAATACCGTGGTCATTCAAACCCCCCCGAGTTGGCTGACCCAAGACCTTATGGGCATGACCACCGGAAACGATTCAGGTAAGGGATAGACACGCACAAAGCACAGGCTGGCTGTACAACTGCAATAATACTGCTGTCGTACAATAGTGCAGGCGCTCTCTCCCGCTGGTGCTGCGGTGCGTAGTCGTGCTGTTGGTACATCATGGCTGTAATAGACTTGTCGGGCACAAACCTTGGGCACACATACTCCCAAGGGTTTCGTGGGAAATATTTCTGTACAACGAGAGATGAACACAAATCGAGGAAATGGTCAGTAGTCTCTGGCATAAGGATGCGCTCAGCGTAGAGGCCGCCGTCCATAGCTACAGC